TGGGCAGTCGCTCTCGACACCCCTCCCTCTCAGCCCTGGCAGCCAGGGATGGCTTTGTATTTCTGGGTATGTGCCTGTGGGGCGTGTGGCCTGTGGGCGTGTCCCCTGTGGGCGTGTCCCCTGTGGGCGTGTCTTCTACCGGATCCTGTGCCCTGTCTGGCTTCTGTCTTCAGCATGATCTCTGGAGGTTCCCCGTGAGTGATGGTGGCCCGCCGTCCGGATAGGCCACGTCCTGGCCACGTAGCCGTCCGCTGCTGGGCATGTGGGTTGCTCCTCTCTGGCGGTTACGGCCAGCTTGCCGTGAGCAGCTCAGACAGGCTTTCACGTGACCCATTTTCGGTTCTCTTTGCCTCGAGCCTACCAGTGGAGTTGTCGGGGCACGTGGCACCTGTGTGTGTGGCATGTTGGGGGACTGCCAGACTGGGTCCCCTGTTGCCATGCTGTGTTGGGGGTGAGTCTGCTGGAGTGTCCTGCAGCCTTCAGCTGGAAGACCCGAATCTTTCGGATTTGAGCATGAGAAGAAGAATCTAAACCTGCCCTCAGGGAGCGTGGGCTGTGCTGGACCCACGTGCTTGCACCCATGTCTCCAAGAAAGGGGCCAGAGCTCAGAGAAAGCAGTCAAGGCGGGTTATTCATCTCTGGGTGGTATGAGAACATGATCTTCAGGACTGGCTTGATCCAGGGACCTGTGATGTGAACAACCCGGTCTCTCTGATTTTCCATCCACCACATCGGCCTTATTCGAAAACCTGCTTGTGGCCCCTGGGTGGTCATTTCTGAACCCCGTCTATTTCTCCTTCCTCGAGCCTGTCTAGAGAAAGAGAAGGAAAGGTTGTTATGGATGCCAGAGTGGGAAGCTTTTCATTTTTTTTTTCTAGAAACTTCCAGGATACATCTTCTCCCTTGGTTGGCTGAGTTGGGTCAGGTGCTCATCCCTGGGGGATCAGTTGCCTTTTAGTAACCACAAGCCCAGCCCTCGCCTAAGGCTCAGCTGCCTGTGTAAAAATTGGGTTGGTTACCAAGAAAGGGGGGGTGGATGACATAACGACATCACCCCGTGTTATAGACAGGCAGGTCGAGGCCTCTGCATGCATTGCCTCCCCTCGTGGCCACACAGGCTGGTCAGCCACAGGTGTGGGTTTAAATGCCCCGGAGTTCTCCTCCGCCCTCTGTCGCCCTGTCCTCAGCTGAGGCCGTGGGTCCCTGGTCGTGGCTTTCTGACAGCTGCAGGAGGGTGGCAGACACCTCGCCCCAGAGGTGCAGAGAGAGCTCGCAGTGATCGGGTGGAAGGTTTTCTGGAATAGCATCAGGTTTTGGGGCCAGGCATTTTTATTTTGCCCTAAAAGCTTTCTAGGGGGGAAACCCAATTCCTAGGGGCTTGGCTTTAATGGTTTCTTTTATAGAATCCTTCAAATTATAGAGGGGTGAACTCGAGGAAACCCCACTCAAGAATGCAGAAAAGCTGAACATTGAAAGGGTCGTGGTGGAGGGGGAAGTTTGTTCCTTTAAACATTTGTTGTTAAAAAGCCAAAGCAAGCCCCCTGGTGCTGATCTGGTCTTGGGAGGCTGGTTTCTTGCCTTCTGGCCGCCTGGGGGACTCCAGGTGAAGTTAATTCCAGATGTGGCCGGCTGGGCCCCTCCAGGAGCCATCACTCTTGCTGACCCCTTACCCTTCTTAGCGAATGGGGGGAGGTTGAGTCTGCCGTAGCTGCAGTCTGCAATCTGCAGTCTCAGTCTGATTGGAGTTCAGATTCTTCATGATTTCCAAGCTGGGTGTCTTGGATAGGTTCCCCAACCTCTCTGAGCTTGTTCTGTTGAGTCAAAGCTTCGTCTCCACCTGATGCTCTTTTCTCCCTCTGGAATAGTCAACACCAGCAGCCGTGAAGGTAAGTGAGTGTTTAGTTTTAGCCTCGTCATTCCAGAGCAGAGGCAAAGACCACCCATTCTCCGTCCACGCCACACAGCCCTCGGCAGAGCAGACCGCATCACGGCCTCCGCTTTCTTCCTTCCACCCCTGGAGCCCATGTCCTCCCACTGTCCCTTCCTCCTGTCCAGGCTTCTTCCAGAGCCTTCCTTACTGTGCACACCCACATAGCCCCTCCCCGTTCCCGGTGGGTGAGGGGATGCCTGGACCCAGCGTTCACATCGCGTGTCCAGCTCCGCGCTCTGCTGGGGGTGCCAGTGTCTTGGTGCTGGACCCCCCTCTATGCCGAGGGCTCCCAAGTTTCCCTCTCTGGCCCCATCGCCTGCCCCGATCCAGCAAACCTGCCCGGCTCGTCTGCCGTTATGGGGCAGAGGAAGGACTTTGAGTCTAGCAGGCCCGGCCCCGCCCTCGCCAGACTCTGCCCTTGCCAGCCCATGCCCAGGCCGGGGTGCCTGCTGCCTGCCTCAGGCTCCCGAGGGTGTCAGATGGGGGTTTCAGACAACAGCTGTGAAACCAAACGTATTTCATCTCCCACCCTCCACACCCCAACTTCGGCACTCCTCAGCCCTGCCTCGGTCTCCCCACCGTAGCTATGGCCCCTCTCTGGTTGGCTTAGGCCAAGGGTGTTCAAGTCTCACGGGATTTCTCCTTCTCACACCTTTCCCACTTCTTAGCAAACTTGATCCATTTTCCTTTGGAATCCCCGTCCCGGGGTGCACACCCCCAGGTCTCCCTCCCCGGCTGGAAACCTCCTGTGGCTGCCGGGAGCTGTGTGGCTGGGCCGATGGTTCACGGACCTTTCCCGTGTCCTGGCTCCCTGAGAACAGTGCTCAGCAGCGTGTGCGGCGTCTGTGCCCGGTAGGCGTGTGGGCGAGGTAGAGCTGAGGTACAGCAGTGGGCCAGCAAGTGGCGTGTTGGTCAAGGCACTGGATCCCACATGGCTGTTCCCCCATGAGGTTCGAGACCCAGACCTGGCAGCTTGAAAATCACACTGGGCAGGACCAGTTGATGGCATAATGGTTACATTGCTGGACTCCAATGTTGTCAACTGTGGTTCAAGTCCTGGACATAGCGGCTTGAAACTCATGCTGGGCATGTATGTGGCATGCCCAAAATCCCGAGAGGAGAATGAAGGAGAAGATTGCAGCGTGGCCATTCCCCGGGGGGTGATTTCTCGCTTTGTTTCTCTCCGCCTGTCTGGTGAGTGCACATGCCCTATAGCAAAAATCTCTCTTAAAAAAAAAAAAAGGAAGCAAAAGCAAATACTACTGGCTGGCATGTGCGTGCGTGTCCAGAATCCCAGGAGGAGACTGAGAGGGAACTGCGGTGGCCATTCCCCTGGGGGTGATGTCTTACTTTCCTTCCCTCTCTGTTTCCCTCTGGCAAGCGCCGTGCCCAGCCGTGCAGACGCACTCGGTTATACAGACCTGCCGGCTTCATCTCAGGGCGCTCACATCGCCAGCTTGGACTCCGTGGGGTCCTGGAACCCATTCCGCAGATGCCAGGGACGACGGCAGCTCTCGAGCGTCACTTCCCTGGTCTGGATGCTGTGGTCCAGTGGGGATGCTACCAGTGGTGGGAATGGGGTGAAGCGGACAGGGACCTCCCTCTACCTTCCTTTTAACTTCCTACGAGTCTGTAACCATTTCCAAACAGAAGGTTAAAAGCCGAAATAAACTGAAGATGGGCGTAAAGACCGTGGAGGGGGACCAGTTCTCCCACCCTCACCCCCGCTGCCCCAGGTCCAGGCTCCCTGCTTCGGCCTTGCAGTCCGGTCTCGGGGGCAGCCTGAGGGGTCTTTTAAAAACAAATGAAATCCCTGCCCAGTGGCTCCCACGCACAGCGAGTCCTGGAGGCTCCAAGGGCAGGCCTGTTCTCCCAGCCTGGAGGCATCCGTGGAAGTGTGGGCTGGGCCGTGCTCCTCCCGAGGGAAGCCTCCACCCTCCGTGGCTGTCCCCTTCAGTGTGTGTCCACATCCCTGTGTCCTTGTCACCTTCTTATGGAGATGCGAGTCACTGGTTACAGCTACCTTGCTCCGGTCTGGCCTCTCATCGGACTCCACCTTCAAAGACACTGTTCCAAGGAAGGCCGCCTCTGAGGTCCCCAGTGCACACGGGTCTCGGGGACACTGGTCAGCCAGCAAGAGCCATGGGGTGGGGCTTGCCATTGCCCTGGTTTGTGCCCCCGCCTCACCCCCCTCTTGCTCCCCGCCCCTACCCACTGATTCTGTCCCTCCTGCTCCCCTCCCTGTTACTCTTCAGTTTATTTATTTATTTTTAAAAGAGGTTTTTTCTCTAGGGCCTCTGCATTCACTGGAGACACAGAGACAGAGAGACAGAAAACGAGAAATCACCCCCCAGGGAGATGGCCACGCCACAGTCCCTTCTCCTCCATTCTCCTCTTGGGATCTTGGGCACGCACGCACACACACCCGGTGTGAGTTTAAACCACCGGACCCAGGACTCGAACCATGGTTTACTACCTGGGAGTCCAGCGACATAGCCATTACGCTAACTGCTGGTCCCTCTCTGCTGATCTTTAAACACACCTCCCGCCTGGCCTGCAGGCATGAGCCCTGTAGCTGCCTCTGTCTGGGACGTGCTTTCTCTGAATACCCATGTGGCTCCCTCCGTGGGACCCAGTTCTCCTTCCAGTGGTCCCTCAGTCATGAAGGCTTTGCACTGGGCCCCGCCATCCTCGGCCTCAAGCTGCAGTGCTTCCTGCCCCTTGAATTAGGAAGGCGTGAGAGGAACGTGCAGAACTGAGACCCGTACACCCAGGGCAGCTCCCACCCCCTCTTCCTCGTTCACATGCATTTACCATCCCAGACGCTGGGAGTGTCCCCGTCTGCCTTCACGGCTTGGGAGCCCAGAGATCGGGGGTTGTCTCCACGTCCTTGCTGGGCGCTGAGCTCCTAGGCAGACCTGAGCTAGAGCGAGTGCCCAGAGAACGAGCTGCGAGAGCGAAGACGAACGCGTGGCAGTCTGTGGGCGGGTGTGACCAGGTCTGCGCTGCCCCAGGCGGGCTGCCCGCCGCCCCGTGACCTCTCCTCTCAGTGTGGCTGCTTCCTGTCCAGGGCAGAGCGTCAACCCCAAGTTGGCTGGTCTGATCGGGCGACACGGGCCCCAGAACAAGCAGCCCTTCATGGTGGCCTTCTTCAAGGCCACGGAGGTCCACTTCCGCAGCATCCGGTCCACGGGGGGCAAGCAGCGCAGCCAGAACCGCTCCAAGACGCCCAAGAACCAGGAAGCCCTGAGGATGGCCAACATCGCAGGTAGGCCTGGGGCGGAGGAGCCCGGAGGGCCGGGGGAGAGCCTCAGAGGCGCTCTGTGCAGAGCAGGAAAACCCCCTTCCTGCACACGCCTCACCTGCTTGCCTCTGTAAGGCGACGGCTCACCCAGAAGCCCACGTAGCGAAGCCTCAGTTGACCAGGTGGCCGGCATGTTGTTGTGCGAGGAGAGGGAGCCATGGCTACGCTGCGGGCTACTCGATTAGGGAGGAAGGCTGTGGGAATCTGGGCGAGGAGACTTCCGGGAGAGGTGACCCTTGGGGAGGAGGCAAAGATGGAGGGTTTGCTGTGGTCCCGACCTTTTATCTCCTAAAGTGAAAACACTTTTTGCCGAAACTCACGGCAAATTTGAATTCTAGTTCAACATGGGCGGTAGTTTTAAAACATATATTATTTGGGTTAGTTCCAGGTTTGTTTGAAATGTTTCTTTACTGTAAGTTTAAAAAATTATAAATAAAGGTAACACGTGTGAACATCTCCGAGCGGCACGGCCCGAGAGAAACTTCAGGGCTGCAACGTCCAGGCCCTTTCTGGAGCGCTCTTAGCAATGTCGTTGCGACCTCGTGAGGCTCGGAGGCTGGTGGCCTCCCATTTGCCTAGGGGAAAACGGGTTCAGAGAGGTTAAGCACCATGTCCAGGGTATGGGCAGCCCTGGGGGTTGGACCCTGGGGGTCTGGGTTGTCCGTGAGCCCGTTGGCGGGTTTGCCTGTCCGAGGTGAGCTTAGGTGCCCCCAGCAGTCCTGTGGAAGGTTTCCCTGGAGTCCGCCAGGCATCTGCAGGGCTTCTGCCCCTGGAGGGATCAGTGGGTCTGTACAGCCCAGGGCATGTGTGCAGGGATTGGGTAGGGATTCTTCTTGGCAGGTGGATCCATTACTTCTGGCTTCTCAAAGGCGTGTATGATGTCCCCAAATCAAAACCCAACTAAGTGTCCCTTCACTCAATCTGGGAGCCTTCTCTCTGCTAGGCCCTTGAGGGCTGGGGCTCAGTGGCAAAAGTCCAGACGTCAGCCGCGCTCAGGAGTGGCAGGAGGGATTGTCACCATGCCCACAGAGAATAGCAGGCCCAGGTGGGGTTTTGACCGGGAGCCTGGCCTATCGCAGGTGTGGATGAGGCTTCCGTGGACAGTAAGCTGAGAGCACAGGGCCAGGCTGGGCCCCAGGGAAGGCTCTGGGCAGTGGGACCAGCCGGTGCAGAGGCCGGAGGTGGAGCTGCTAGGGGCCCCGTGGCTGAGGTGGGGAGGGGCCTGCAGTGGAGAGAGGGCCCAGCACCCACGTTCACGGGAGAGCTGCAGCTTGAGCTCAGACTCCAAGCCAATATGAAGTCTTTGCAGAGTCTTAAGCTTCTGGGGTGGGACACAGTGGGGGAGATCATTCTGGCTGCTCTGGGAATGGTGGGGTATATGCTGGGGTACTAGGCAGAGGCCCAGGGCCTGGGAGAGGCTTCTGCAGACCCCCCGGGCAGATAGGGCCAGCAGGCTTGGTCCTCTCAGAGACTCTGTGTCTCGGAGCTCTTCATTCAGGGTTCTCGGGAATGGGACAGGGGAAGTCGGCCTCCAAGTCAGAATTTGACCCCTGATTCCCCCCTTTCCCACCCTGCCGCCCAGGCCCAGGGCAGGACAGGCCTCATACCTCACATGGCCGCTGTTCCGCTGGCTCAGGATCTGCCTCCCCATAGGGTCCTACCTGTTCTAGGTTCTTCTAAACCCTGCCTGGAAGCTTAATAAAGTACCGAGTCCTGGGTCCCATCGGAAAGGAAGCCAGAGTCTCTGAGTGAGTGTGTGTGTGAGAGTGTGCGTGTGCATGGTGTGAACATGTGCATGTGTATGAGTGTGCATGTGCATGGTGTGAACGTGTGCGTGATTGTGTGCGAGTGTGTGTGTGCATGTGCATGGTGTGAACGTGTGCATGATTGTGTGCGAGTGTGCATGTGCATGGTGTGAATGTGTGCATGTGATTGTGCGAGTGTGCATGTGCATGCTGTGAATGTGTGCATGTGATTATGTGAGTGTGCATGTGCATGGTGTGAACATGTGTGTGTGAGTGTGCATGGCGTGAATGCGTGCATGATTGTGAGTGTGCATGTGCATGGTGTGAAAATGCGTGTGATTGTGAGTGCATGCTGTGAATGTGCATGTGATTGTGTGAGTGCATGTGCATGGTGTGAACATGTGTGTGATTGTGAGTGTGCATGGCATGAATGTGTGCATAATTGTGAGTGTTCATATGCATGGTGTGAACATGCATGTGATTGTGAGTGTGCATGCTGTGAATGTGTGCATGTGATTGTGTGAGTGTTCATGTGCATGGTGTGAACATGCATGTGATTGTGAGTGTGCATGGCATGAATGTGTTCATAATTGTGAGTGTTCATGTGCATGGTGTGAACATGCATGTGATTGTGAGTGCATGGCATGAATGTGTGCATGATTGTGAGTGTGCATGTACTTGGTGTGAACATGTGCATATGATTGTGTGTAAGTGTGCATGTGCATGGCATGAATGTGTGCATGTGATTGTGCGTGAGTATGTATGTGCATGGCGTGAACATGTGCATGTGGTTGTATGTGTGCATGGTGTGAACATGTGCTTGTGATTGTGTGAGTATGCATGTGCATGGTGTGAATGTGTGCATGTGATTGTGTGCATGGTGTGAATGTGTGCATGTGACTGTGTATGTATGTGCATGGTGTGAACATGTGCATGTGATCGTGTATGTTCATGGTGTGAACTGTGCGTGTGATTGTGTGTATGCGTGTGCATAGTGTGAACATGTGCATGTGATTGTGTGTGTGCATGGTGTGGACGTGTGCATGTGATTGTGTATGTATGTGCATGGTGTGAACATGTGCATGTGATTGTGTGTGCATGGTGTGAACGTGTGCATGTGATTGTGTATGGTGTGAATGTGTGCATGTGATTGTGTGTATGTGTGTGCATGGTGTGAACATGTGCATGTGATTGTGTGTGTGCATGGTGTGACGTGTGCATGTGATTGTGTGTGAGTGCTGCAGCTCCCTCGGTGGGCTGGGCGCTGTGCTGTGGGCCCACTCGGCCGCAGTGTGTGTTGGGGGGGCGGTGTGCTCCAGCATACCCCTGCAGGCTGCCCCCAGAAGCCCCACCCGTATGGGGATACTTGCTGTCTGTCTCTCTAACTGGTTACAGAGATAAACTCCCTTCTCCAGCCTCTGCCCGTTTCACTGACCTTGAGAAGTGCTGGCCTTCACTACCAGTCACAGAGGGTCTGATGGGGCTCTGCCCCAGGCCCTGTCTGTGCCCTCCCGCGGAGAGCGCCTTGGGCTGCCTGTTCTCCCCAGGGGATGCCGTGGGATTGTGGGTGGGTGGAGCCCCGATGGAATGCAGGCAGGTGTCGGTTCCCGCATCATGTGTGTATAAAGTGGACCAGTGTCCACAGGAGGCTCTGGGCAGTGTCGTGAGCTAAACCTCCCTGGGACAGCCATGAGCATCGGCACCTGTTTCCTGGAGCCCTTTGCTGGGACAGGGCCGGGGACCAGTCTCACTGCCAGCTGTCTGAGTCTGGCGCCCGAGGCTGGGGAGACAGGACAGTAATAGGTGCTTGGTTTCTTCTTCCTCCCTGACACTGCTCCCCGCGTCCTGGAACATGCAGAGAACAGCAGCAGTGACCAGCGGCAGGCCTGTAAGAAGCACGAGCTCTACGTCAGCTTCCGCGACCTGGGCTGGCAGGTGAGGGGCGGGCTGGGCCCAGTGTCATGAGGAGGTGCCGATGGGACTCTGTCCTGGCCCTGCCTGTGCGCCCTCCCGCTCCCCTGGAGGACTGCCTGGTCTGGGCCAGCTTCACAGGGCGAGTCGTTCAGGTTCACCCCGGGGAGGGCTCCCGCTTTCCTCACGGTCCTTGAGCGCCTGGTATTCTGGGCCCTGAACTGGGGACATGGCAGTGACCGTGGCACGCCTGCTCCCAGGGGCTCAGGCATCTCTGCACGGTGTTGCCATATGAGCACCAGGGCAGCTGGTGTGGGTCTTCCACGGGGTCGCAGAGCAGAGGGAGTCCAGGTTCTCCCCTCAGGTGCTTGTGTACCCAGCCAGCGCGGGCCCTCCTGGGAGTCTGTCCTCAGGACTAATGGCAGCACCCAGCCTCAGTGGGCGGGGCAGAACCCACACTCCAGGGGCCTCTGCTGCAAGACTCACACTGAAAGGGCAGCAAGCCGATGCAGTGGCATGAGCCTCTAATCCCAGCCTCTGGGGAGGCCGCAGGGTTGAGGGTTCAAAGCCAGCCTGGGCAACACAGTGAGACCCTGGCTCCCGAAGAAGAGTCAGTGAGGGGTGTGTGGCCAGGCGCACCCTCTATCTCGCGGGGCGCCAGGGCAGGCTTCTCTGTCGCAGGTCCTCGGCCCCCGCCGTTGGGTGAGGAGTCTGTCCTGCAGGAAGGTACACTGAGGCATGGAGGTTTTCTGCCAGGGTGCTGCCACCTAGTGGGGGGACTGTGCCGGGGCTGGGCACACTGACCCTGCACTGTCCAGGAGACCAGCCCAGTGCCTCATCTTCAGTCTGGTGGGGACCATGGAAGGCTGACATCTGCCTCCACCCCTGCTGGACCTCCCAGCTCAGGAGGGCTAGCCCAGCGTCGTGGTTGGCCTGTGGGGGGTGGGTGCCCTTATGGGGTGGGCAGGTCCAGACGGGGCTGGCCACCACCTCACTGTCCTCTCTCCCGCAGGACTGGATCATCGCGCCTGAGGGCTATGCGGCCTACTACTGCGAGGGCGAGTGCGCCTTCCCCCTGAACTCCTACATGAACGCCACCAACCACGCCATCGTGCAGACCCTGGTGCGTGTCGCCTGGCACAGCGTGCAGTCACGAGCGGGGTGGGGCGTGGGCTCCTCCTGCAGTACTCCGGGCACGGGGCCTGGCCCTCCTGCGGGGGGGGCTGTTGCTCAGGCTGTCGGCAGGCACTGCTCCACTAAGACAGTGTCGGTGGCCTCCCCACCCCACTCCCGCCCCCAGCCCTGGGCTGGCTCAGGGACCCTGGCCTGAGAGCTCATTGAGGTCCGCATCTTCCTTTCCCAGCCTTGACCTTCAAGGCGCAGTCCTTTGATGGTGGTGGACAATGCGGGGCGTGGCCAGGCCTCAAGGCTTCATTTCTAGTGGAAGAAATGAGGAAGGGGAGGAGGAGGGGAGGACGTTCTGGAGAGGGGGAGGGAGAAGGTGCAAAGATGAAGGCGAGCAGGATAGCCGGGTAGAGGCTTGGGTGGAGGCTTGGGTAGAGGGCTAGGGAAGAGACCGGGATAGAGGGCTAGGGAAGAGACCGGGATAGAGGGCGGGGGAAGAGACCGGGATAGAGGGTGGGGGAAGAGGCCAGGGTAGTAGAGGCTGTGTAGAGGGCCAGGGAAGAGGCCCAGGGAAGAAGGCCAGGGAAGAGGGCCAGGGTAGAGGGTCAGGGTAGAGGGCCGGGGTAGAGGCCGGGGTAGAGGGCGGTGGGACAGGACAGGGGCCTGGGAAGACGCGATAACGAGACGTAACGAGGTGGAAGTTGTTCTGCCTACTGACAGTGGTGTGAGGCTTAGGGACTTGGCTCTTCAGTTTAGAAGCCGAGGTCCGAGGGCCTTGTCATCTAGCTCCCGCCGTAAACATGACCTGGGCCTTCCCTGACGGTCACTCGGCGAGGCTGAGCACTCCGGCGCTGGCGAGGTCACCAGGGCTGCCTGTGCAGCAGCTGCTGCTGCTTTTCTACGAATGAGGGAGCAGGAGGAGGCGAGCGAGCACCCTAATAGGATCTCAGCGTCGTGGCCCACCCCGAGCCTGAGCTGGTCCTGGATCGTGGCCAAGCACGTGCCTGTTGAGGTCAGAGAGGGCGCAGGATGTGAACCCAGAACCTTCCGGTGTGGGTCAGCCTTGCGGACCATGGCATCTTTAATTGCTGTGCCATCTTGCAGCCCTGCTACAGAGCTCTGTGCTCCTTCTATTCAGTCCCCCTGCCCCTGCCCCGTGGGGGAAGCTCGCGGGGGAAGCTCGCTGGTTCCTTCCATCCGGTCCAGACTCCACCTTCGACGGCAGGGACTGGTTTTCCAAAGTCCTCCCTCCACCCCCAGTGGTGAACCCCAAAGCCCCACTCGGAAGTGAGGGTCCTTAGGCTGGAAACAGAAGGTCTTCCAGCCTGTTCTGTGGCCCAGATATGTCCCGCTAAGGACCCGCTCTGAGGACCCTGCAGGTGACAGGCGTGTGTGTCTCCTGCCAGCCCAGGGCACACCTCGGCCTCCCCGACCCCTGCCTTCACAGGAGTCCCCTTACTGGGGACACCGACTGACCGTGGGATTTGCTTTAAAGCGATTCAGGGTGGAGCGGGCGGGGGAGGGAATGGACACTTCAGGGTTTGGCATCAACCATTAGAAAACTCGGAAACCACTCCGGCCTCCATCAGAGGTTGCAGCCTCCGAGGCTGGCTCCGGCAGCGTGCTGTGAGCTGGAACCTGGAAGTTTCACGTGAGAAACAGAATGAACACTCGGCACAGCGGACCACTCTGGTCCTGGCCGGCCGGGCAGCCAGGAGTCAGTGCGGCCTCTTCCTTTGGTTTGCCTCCGTCCCCACTGGCCTCTGCTGTCCTCCTGGCACTCAGGGGGCGCTGCAGCATTCACATTTGCCCCCACCCTCACCTCAGGAGGGGCGTGGACGCCCAGCAAGGAGCGGGAAGCCTGGGCCTTTGGGGCATCACTGCTAAGACTTCAGGGCCTCCTGCCTCTTGTTGAGGTCCGTCCACATGTTCCCGGCGTGTTCCTCAAGCCACTGTCTGGGACTTGAACTGCACACCTGGCTACGTGGGATCCAGCCGCCTTACCCACTACATCACTGGCAGGCCCACTCCTATCTTGTCTTTTTAAATTATACCCGTGACTCCACCCCCTCGGACAGGCCAGGTTCGGCGACCTTCTCTTGACCGTGATGTTTCCGACCTTGCATCGCACAGCCTGTCGCAGCCCACAAACCCCACCCTGGATACAAAGCCGTGTGGACAGTGTGACGGTGGTGAGGCCGCTCTGTTAACCCGACTCGCAGAGCCGTGGAGCAGGCTTTGGTCTGCAGACTGCCCCTGGCCTAGCCTCCTGTTTCTCAGCACGGGCAGTGCTGCCCCCAGAGGACACTTGGCAGCATCTGGGACAGCTGCCGTTGCTACAGTCCCCTCTACTCCCTGTCGCTTCCTGTGGCCTACTTCGCTTGGCAGAGCACTGGCAGGGGCTTGCGGCCACCCACCCCCTCCCGACCTTTAGGGTGCGTGGCTGCTTGTGAGTGAGCTGGTGCCGCTGGTGGGCAGAAGCTGGGCACAGCCCTCACAGCAAGGGTGGCCTGGGCTCCTTCCTACAGGCCGTGTGCCGGGAGAACTCGCTGGCCTCTGGTCCCCGTGACTGTAGATAGGGACAGTCCCAGAACCTAGTTAGTGCGTGTGCTAGTGCACCCTCGGGCATGCTCGGTAACTGTCACCTGCCGTCATTCTGCCCAGGCAGCAGGTGTTTCTTATGGAAATAGGGGTCAGCCAGAAGGACCCCCGCTTCTCACCACTGTGCGCGTTGCGGTGTGTTCCAGGTCCACTTCATCAACCCGGAAACAGTGCCCAAGCCCTGCTGCGCGCCCACCCAGCTCAACGCCATCTCCGTCCTCTACTTTGACGACAGCTCCAACGTCATCCTGAAGAAATACAGAAACATGGTGGTCCGGGCCTGTGGCTGCCACTAGCCCCTCCTGGAAGCCAGACCCTCTGGGGCTACGTTTGCTGGATCCTCCGCCGCCTCCGCCCTCGGCCAGGACCCAGCAGAGCTCCACCTTCATGGCCCTTCCTCTCTCCCCTTCCCAACTTGCAAGGTGTAAGAGAATTAAGGAGTCTGAGCGGCAGACAGCTCGCTCACCCTCCGCTGGCAGCATCCCCCGGACAAGGGCCTACGAGCTGCTGTACAGAGAACCTCGCAGGGAAACTGCACGTACAAAAGCAATCCCGGCCACGGCCACGGCCGCCACGCCCAGCCCTGCACTGACTCCTTTCCCGAGGTAATTACGAGTGCCCTGCAGCCGGGCCACCAGCTGCGGGAGGAAGCGGGCGTGGCCAGGGTGGGCACGTTTGTGTCTGTGCTAAAGGAGATCCACACACACTGAAGCTCCTGTAATAAATGTCACAATAAAATGAATGAATGAAAATGGTTAGGATGTTACAGATATATTTTCCTGAACAGTTTACCCGCATTTCTTGGGTTTCTCTGATCTTAGAACAGAAGCTGGGGTCGGCGGACGGCAGGGCAGCTGCCTCCCCACCTCATTCAGGCTTCCTGCTAGGCTGCAGAGGCCCAGTGTTTACCTAGACTTGCCCAGAGTGGAGATTGGAGGGGACGGGAGAAAGCAAACTTCTGTTTGGAGGAAGTGGAGGGGGCTGTTAACCTTGAAGGAAGACTGTCCCAGGTTCAGCTGGCGTGCAGTGGCAGGATTTAAAATAAGCCGCGTGACACGGCAGACACTGAGTTGGCTTTCCAGCTTTCCCCTACGGCAGGAAGTCAGTGTGAAACTGCCCAGGGGACAAGGACAGCTGGTAGGACAGAGCCTGCACCCAGCCTGGTGTTAGGAAGCACCAGTGGGCAAGGGGTGAGCCGGGCACCGTCCTCCAAGAGGGACTCTGCCTTCCTCTGCAGCAGCACCTGCGACCGGGCCTGGCAAGGTCAGCCACGGCTTTTGCATTGCAGATCTGTTTCGAGGGCTCTGCAAACATGCTGGCTTCTTCGTGGAGTAAGAGAAAGCTGACGTAGTAAGGTCTCATGGGTGCAAGGCAGGCTGGGCGCAAATCCCAAACAGAAGGCACTAGAAGCCGTTCGGACGGTGACATCCTAACCAACTGTCCTAACTTGGTGGTGGCCTTCTCATGAGGCTCTTGGTTTAAGAGTCTCGGCCAGTGAGTCCTGTGACTGTGGTGCACACAGCCTTTGGTGGCAGACGCAAGGCCTCAGGGAGGCAAGGCTGGGCTGCCTGTGAGCGTTTCCTGCATCTACACAAAGAACAGGGTTATCCAGACGAGACTCATGGCCGTCTGCTCCAGTGGGGAGTTGTATCTCCACGTGACTTCAGTGGGTCAGTGGAAACACTGGGCTCCGTTTTCATTTTCTTTTTCTTCTTTAGTAGCTTGGGCTGCAGCCCTCACTGGCCCGGTCATTGGGGGAAGACTACTTTTTGTTACGTTTTGTTCTTTTTGTTGGCAGATCTGGGCCCATTGTGTGACTTCTTCCTGGTGCAAGTTTTCTTACCACTAAGGGTCCAGCAAGCCTCTGGGTAGCATCACTTGTACATTGAAACATGTAAATAGTTGTTACAAAACAAAGAAATTATTTATTTCCACCTGATGCTTTAAAAAAAACCCTTTAATCCCTTGTTCAAGACCACAAGCTTGCTGTCCTTCAACCGTGTGTTATTTAAGACTATTTATTAACAGTTGGATCGATGTGCCCGGCTGTTGCTAGAGCAGTCCTTAGTGAACATTATGTATGAATAGATGCAATGAGAAGGGTTTGGACTTTGCAATAAAAGGAGACCTTTGGTTCTGGTCCTCGGGCCTGCGTACGTCTGTGTGTTGTCTTTCTCTCCCAACCCCGGACATCCACGTTCCCCGGCTGTGCCAAGTCTCTCTGCCTAGGCCTCCGCCGTCCGCGAACGTGCTGTTTTCCTCCAGGCCCAGGGAGGGATGGGCGCTCGGCAGGGCAGTATCGGTGCAGCTGTGTGGGGCTCCAGGCAGGAGGGATGGAACCAAATAACACATGTGAATTGGGGAGGCTCGACTACAAAGACCTTGATTGAATTACGGTGCAGCTGTCAGCAGCTGTTTCGGAGAGGCAGGGGGTAAATTAGCTGTGTTTACTGCTAACATAGTTGAAAGATTTAGTCATCCCAATAAAACAGAGGCACAAGAGAGCAGAGGGGGGTGCGCACCCAAAACTTGAAAGCAACCCTGGCCCCCAACAGCCGACACTGTCCAGTGCACATTCCCTGGGCAGTTTGGGGACGGGTGCTGGGGCCCAGCTGTAGGCGTGGATGACGCATGGCAGGCGGGGAAGGCGGGGGCCCAGCGCCTTCCTGCGCATGGAGCAGCATCCGTGGAGCGGTGTGGGGCAGCTTTTGGGGTCCTTTGAAGTGTGTACCAAGGTCACCTGATGGATGTCCCTGAGACCCCAGCAGGTAGTGGGGTGGGCTGCTCACTCCTGCCCCAGCGCCTCAAACACAGTGGCTGCTCCTGACACGTCCCAGCCCCTGTGATTTCCAAGCCCTCCTGTCATTGTCCTGATGTGCGATTGAGCTTTTGTTTTATTTCCGGGCTAAAGGCCCGAGCCACTAACTAGAGCCCTGGTGTGACCTGCAGACGTGTCTTGCCCCTGCGTGGTGTTTGGATGGTTTAGAAGTGGATTTGTTGCCAGCATGCTCATGGAAGTCAGAGGATTAGGGTGGAAAACAGTTGCCAAATCTGGCGTCTCCCGTAAGCTCGGCAGATCTGGCCACCCGGGCCCATCCCTGTATGGCACTCTAGGCCAGACAGAGGGGAGCCATGGCCACAGGCCTCACCGCTCCCTGCTGCTCTCATGGAAGGGGCACACAGCTGTCATTTTCAACCACCCACACCTGCTCGTGCCACGTCCCAGTTTAGAGTAGGGAAGTAAAAGCTGGACTGAGAGTGCCCCAGACTTCAGGAAGGACAAACACATTTGCTCCTGCCAGCCACTCCCTGGCTCCCCGAGGCAGCCCCTGGCGGCTTGTAGTCACTACGACACAGAGGGCCCTGCCTTTCCTTGGCCTGTCCCCACGCCTGGCTTCCTCTCCTGCCTGCTTCCACCTCGGAGCATTTTCTGCAGCCGTCCGTCCCGGAAGTCCTGCTCACTGTTGCGCACAGAGACGAAAGGGGTTTGCTCCGAGTTGCCCAGCTCATGGTTACTAGACTGAAATTTGAAGTTCTGGGCTCAGCTGAGTTGGAGACTCCAGGGCTGTTCATGAAATGGGAGCCTCTGGCCCAGCTCGGCTGCAGTCTGCTCCTCCAGGGCCTGTGTCAGCGTGGGATCCTCTGCACCCGTGGCCATGTGCTCGGGGTTCTGTCTCCCACCTGCACCCGCCCTGCTCTGGCCTCTGTCCCCAGCT